ACGTAACTTATATGCATAGGTTTATGCAGCTACAGATCTCTTTCTACCAATCTTCTCTTCTTATATTCGTGAATGACCTTATGAATTCTATAACATCACTCTTTATAGATGCATACACCACCTCACATATCTTATGCCATCACTCTAAACGTAGGTGTGACCTCACACATGCGATGACATCGCTCTCTATACATGTATGACCTGATAAATCCTATGATATCACTCTTGATACGTGCATGACCTTATTAGTCCTATGACATCACTCTTTATCCGTGTATGACCTTGTGACTCTTATGACATAACTCATTATACATGTATATGACCTTATGAATGCTATGACATCACTCTATATTCGTGAATGACCTTATGAATGTTATGACATCACTCTTTATATGTGTGTGACCTCACAAATCACAGTGTCATTCTTGATACTCATCTATATAGTATTACTGTAACGGATGCGTGTAATTTCACGTATCTCCTCCGAAACCGCCATAAGGAATGTGCCCATTTTCCTTTTACCGGGGGGTTTTGCTAGTGCATATATAATCTGACTACGTGACAGTACTATTATTTAGGATCGTTCTCCAATGCTTTGATTTTAATTAAGCAGTATGCATTTAGCTTGTATTTTATTTTGTTACCGTACAACCCTCTGGCGAGCGATATGTGGAGTCTGGGTTGCATTCTCTACCAGATGGTGGTCGGAAAACTGCCATTTGATAGCAGCAACTTTGTGGCCATGGTCCGAGCTCAGCGAGCGGGAAAGATCCACTTTCCTTCTCATTTGAGTGCAGACTGTGTCGATCTTCTCACTCGCCTGATGGACCCTAACCCGAAGAGTCGTATTGCGATTGCAGAGGTGCAGCAGCACCAGTGGCTGAATGATGATGAGTAGAGTGGGCAGAGTTGGGAAACCCTGACTCTGTCTCGGTTGAACAGCTCCCTATGATGCTGGGAGTACCCCACAGAATTATACCATCCACCTTGACGTGGTTGTGGGGCTTATAGGCAATCAATAGCCTAAACTAAGAGATGGTAAAAAAATAAAATACAAGCTAAATGCATACTGCTTAATTAAAATCAAAGCGTTGGAGAACGATCCTAAATAATAGTACTGTCACGTAGTCAGATTATATATGCATGAGTATCAAGAATGACACTGTGATTTGTGAGGTCACACACATAAAGAGTGATGTCATAACATTCATAAGGTCATTCACGAATAAAGAGTGATGTCATAGCATTCATAAGGTCATACATGTATAATGAGTTATGTCATAAGAGTCACAAGGTCATACACGGATAAAGAGTGATGTCATAGGACTAATAAGGTCATACACGTATCAAGAGTGATATCATAGGATTTATCAGGTCATACATGTATAGAGAGTGATGTCACCGCATTTGTGAGGTCACACCTACGTTTAGAGTGATGGCATAGGATCTGTGAGGTGGTGTATGCATCTATAAAGAGTGATGTTATAGCATTCATGTCATCATACCTATATTTATTGTGTGTTGGAGATGGCCAATCATCTCATCATCTCATGACATCACTATTTATTGTGTGTTAAAGATGGCCAATTATCTCATCATCTCATGACATCACTATTTATTGTGTGTTAGAGATGGCCAATCATCTCACTATCTCATGACATCCTTATTTAGTGTGTGTTAGAGATGGCCAATCATCTCACCATCTCATGACATCACTATTTATTGTGTGTTAACAATGGCCAATCATCTCACTATTTCATGACATCACTATTTATTGTGTGTTAACGATAGCCAATCATAGGATCATCTTTTGACATAAGTTTTATGTGTGCATAACCTACACAATATGTACAGCTGTATGACACCTGCGTTCGTCAGCTTTCTGAACCTATTTTCTATGGAATCCAAAGATGTCACCTTGTACTATGTACCAAAGGGGGGTACTACACACAAAAATAAATTATATTTAATGTTTAACCATCGCTTAGTTTAAGGCTATTTATTGCCTATAAGCCCCACAACCACGTCAAGGTGGATGGTATAATTCTGTGGGGTACTCCCAGCATCATAGGGAGCTGTTCAACCGAGACAAGAGTCAGGGTTTCCCAACTCTGCCCACTCTATCATACATCATCGCAGCCACTGGTGCTGCTGCACTCTAGCAATGCAATACGACTCTTTGGGTTAGGTCCATCAGGCGAGTAGAAGATGACACAGGTCTGCACTCAAATGAGAAGAAAGTGGATCTTTCCGCTCGCTGAGCGTCGACATGGCCACAAAGTTGCTGCTATCAAATGGCAGTTTTCCGACCACCATCTGGTAGAGAATGCAACCCAGACTCCACATATCGCTCGCCAGAGGGTTGTATGGTGTTCCTGTCAGGACCTCTGGGGAACAATGATCGGGAGTTCCACAGAAGGTCTTGCTCAGGGATGCCATTCCCTCCTCTTCGCATCTCTTTGCAAATCCAAAATCTCGCTAGCTTGCTTTTCCATCAGCAGTAAGAAGGATATTGTCGGCCTTTCAGATCCTGTGGGAACTTTCTGAGAGTGGCAATAGGCTATAGCAGAGACAATATCTCTGAATACAGCCTTGGCCGTTACCTCAGCAAACTTACCATCCCTGGTGATACTGTGATGGAGGCTGCTCTCAGCCAATTCCATGAAGATGTACAAAACCTTCTGGATCTCAAACACGGAGCACACTCTTACAATGTTCTCATGTCTAAGAGTTCTCATGATCTCCATTTCACGAGGAAGGAACACCTTGGCCGACTTGGCACTGATCTTTGACAAGTCAACGATCTTGCAAGCCAGCACACGGTGCTTTCCCTCTGAAATCCACTCTGCCTTCCTCACGGATCCGTATGCTCCTCTCTCCTAGGGTAGCACCCATCCTGAAGCCATGCTGCATCAGTATTTCTGCTGCTTGGGTATTCATGATTGAAAAAATTTCAGGTGTTATCAAGTAACAATGACTGTGACATACTGCTGCGTTGCTATATAACCATGTCAAATTGAGACAATGGCAGACAGGCAGACGGCAGACAGTCTCACCTAATGTCTCATCGGCTACGCTGTCTTCTATCCTAATTAAACTTACTGAACTAATTAAACGAAGGTTGCTGATCACTAATAACCCTAAATTATAATGTAGACATAAGATAGGAGCGAATAGAGCTGTAGACAGGAAGGTACATAGCGGCAGACGACCGTCTAGTCGACAAAATTTTCGCGTCTGCCAGCTGTCTTTGTGAATTTTATGTAAATTCTACTATGTAAACCCAGCATTTTTGTGATGGTACTGCAGATGTCTCACTCAGGTCACGCATACTGTGATTTCAGTGTAGTAGACGAGAAAAAAGTACTTTAGACGAGCCGCATCGTTCTTGGGTGACGTTAGTCTCGTGGCTCGGTGTGGCTGGCTAGACGAACGCGCCGCTACGGCACCTACTTGTCTACAGCATTCTCTACTAATTCTATTATGTCCTACATCTAATTTAGGAGGCTATTGTTAATCTCGAACTTCGTTAATAACTTCCATGGTTTATACCACGGCGAAAAGATAGAAGACAGCGTAGTCATGAGACATTAGGTGAGACTGTCTGCGTCTGCCTGTCTGCCCATTGTCTCAATTTGACATGGTATATAGGCAACGCAGGAGTAGGTCATGGTCATTTTACTTGATAACACTGTAAATTTTTTCAATCATGAATACCCAAGCAGCAGAAATACTGATGCAGCATGGCTTCAGGATGTGGTCTACCCTGGAGAGGAGCATACGCATCCGTGAGGAAGGCAGAGTGGATTTCAGAGGGAAAAGCACGTGTGCTGCTTGCAAGATCGTGACTGTCAAAGAATCAGTGCCTCGGCCAAGGTGTTCCTTCCTCGTGAAATGGAGATCATGAGAACTCTTAGACATGATGAAACATTGTAAGAGTGTGCTCCGTGTTTGAGATCAGAAGGTTTTGTAACATCTCATGGAATGGCTGAGAGCAGCCTCCATCACAGTATCACCAGGGATGGTAAGTTTGCTGAGGTAACGGCCAAGGCTGTATTCAGAGATATTGTCTCTGCTATAGCCTATTGCCACTCTCAGAAAGTTTCCCACAGGGATCTGAAGGCCGACAATATCCTTTCTTACCGCTGATGGAAAGGCAAAGCTAGCAGATTTTGAATGCAAAGAGATGCGAGAGGAGGGAATGGCATTCTGAGGCAAGACCTTCGTGAACTCCCGATCATTGTTCCAGAGGTCCTGACAGGAAAACACCATACAACCTCTTGGGAGCGATATGTGGAGTCTGGGTTGCATACTCTACACAGATGGTGGTCGAAAACTGCCATTGATAGCAGCAACTTTGTGGCCATGGTCCGAGCTCAGCGAGCAGGAAAGATCCACTTTCCTTCTCACTTGAGTGCAGACTGTGTCGATCTTCTCACTCGCCTGATGGACCCTAACCCGAAGAGTCGTATTGCGATTGCAGAGGTGCAGCAGCACCAGTGCTGAATGAATGATGAGTAGAGTGGGCAGAGTTGGGAAACCTTGACTCTGTCTCGGTTTGAACAGCTCCCTATGATGCTGGGAGTACACAGAATTCACTCATCCACCTTGACGGTTGTGGGGCTTATAGGCAATAAATAGCCTTAACTAAGCGATGGTTAAACATTAAATAAAATAAAATAAATTTGTGTAGGAGAGCTATTCTAAATTCTAAATAGTATTTTCATGTAGTTAGATCATGTTTATATACATATATACATATATATTATTAATATTCATGTATTAATAGTGACCAATGTTGGTACTTAGTGCAAGGTGATGTCTTAGGATTCCATATAAAATAGGTTCAAATGATTGGTATGATTGGTATAGATGAGGTCGTTGGCCATCTCTAATTCACAATAAATAGTGATGTCATGAGGTGAAGAGATGATTGGCCATCTTTAACACACTATAAGCAGTGATGTCATGAGGTGAAGAGATGATTGGCCATCTTTAACACACTAAGCAGTGATGTCATGAGGTGAAGAGATGATTGGCCATCTTTAACACACTAAGCAGTGATGTCATGAGGTGAAGAGATGATTGACCATCTTTAACACACTAAGCAGTGATGTCATGAGGTGAAGAGATGATTGACCATCTTTAACACACTATAAGCAGTGATGTCATGATGCAAATATTTATATTGAGAACGTTGTTCCTTGACCAGGTCATGTGCAGAAAAAAGGATGATGTCATCTCATTGACCTGCTCTGGCTTAATAACATTTTTTCAGTGGAGTGTACAATATTGGTCATATTGTCCGTGGAGTTGATCCACATACTCATAAAGTGTGCCATAAAATTTTGTGCATCCATTATTGGACCGATTAGCTATAGTTTCCAAGTAATTAATTATATGAAATTAAAAAAAATGTTAGAAGATCTTGATGAATGGGATAAATAATGTCATCAATTATTATGTCATCTTTTATCTATTTGTGAAGTCATGCTGGACATCTCGTGCACACAAAGAGTGATGTCATGACTTAGGTCTTATTGACAAGAAGTTGTGATGTCATAGAGTAATACTGATGTCATAGGCATATGTGATCTTCAGAGAAAATCATGATGACATAAAACTATAGTGATGTCATAGGGGTTTCTTATCTTTACAAGGAACTGTGATGTCATAACCTATAGTGATGTCATAGGAGTTTCCTATCCTTAAAAGAAATCGTGATGTCATAAAGCAGTAATGTCACAAGGATTCCTTGTCTCCACACAAAATCGTGATGTCATCAGCACTAGTGATGTCATAGGAGCCTTATCTTCACGCGAAAGAGTGATGTCATCAGCACTAGTGATGTCATAGGAGTCTTATCTGCACACGAAATAGTGATGTCATCAGCACTAGTGATGTCACACGAGTCTTATCAGGACATACAGTAGATGTTGTAATGGCATCATAAGGATGTAGGTGTGGCACGTACATGAAAGGTCATGTACGTGACAGACTTGTGCAAGACAGCCTATGGAAACGTAATATTATCGCACAGATGTCTTCTATTCTCTATGGTTTGCAGGTACGGGCGTGCAGTGGTCCAACGTGGCCGAGCCTGTGTCGGTAGATGACAGCTTCACCCTGCTCTACGTGATGCTGATGATGCTTGTGGATTCTGTCATATTCTGGCTCCTCACTTGGTACATAGAGGCCGTCTTTCCGGGAGAGTTTGGTGTGCCCCAGCCTTGGTATTTCCCGTTCATGGTACGTATGCAACTGTGCTGAAATCTGAAGCCAAGTAAATTCTGTGGTGCCAGGCAATTTCACGCAATGCCATTATTCTTTAACGATATTTGAAAAAAGTGGCCTGGGGCAAGTTAACCAGATTCATTTTTAAAAATTTATTGGAACGTTTTAGTTGAGTATCACTTAATTAGCTGATGCAAACATGTGCAATGTACCGATAATATACACCAATATATAGAAAACTAGTGTAGGCATTGTGCGTTGTGCGTTTCAGCCATCTTACTGGTGTGGCACGAGACAACTGGATGCTGCAGACGACGACCTACGGCAACCGTTGCTAGGCAACAGCAGCCACGGCGGAAAGATGTTCGAGGCGGAACCGAGTGGGCTACGAGTCGGTATTCAGATGTGCCAACTTCGAAAGGTATCACTGCTAGTGTATGATCGTCTGGCTAGTAATAGTTGTAAGTAAACTCATGAGTGAGAATGCATAGAGAGAGAGATGGAGGAAGGGGGAGAGAGAGAGAGAGAGAGAGAGAGAGAGAGAGAGAGAGAGAGCAGATAGACTCGAAACGCTTCTGCTAGAATCGATAGTGCTAGAAAGCCAACCGAACAAGCTTCCTTATTCATCTATAGGTGTTTGACAAGAAACTGCAGTAGCTGGTGTCAGTTTGAATGCTTACGAGGGCAGATAACAGTGTTGCTTGGGCACAATGGAGCAGGCAAAGACCACTACCATGTCGATGCTCACAGGTAAGTTATACACCTGCAAAATCTACCTTGAAAAATTATCAATGAATCTCGAGTAGCGACGCACAGTAAGTACAATCGAGTGTAAAACTTTCTTCCTTGCTGTTTATCTTGTATTTTATTTGTAACCTTACAAGTATTCTACCCTGTTTTCACAACAGTTTTCACTTCTTTCCCTGAAATTGTTTTCTGTCTTACTCTGTTCTTATCAGGAATTTTTCCGTGTTCCTAGGAGACGTAGCATTATGATAATGATTACTATTCCAATTCAAAATTCCAAAAAATTACTATTAGTACTATTAAAACACAGTAAAAGTGGCTACAATCGTTGTAACCGAAATGTTTCGGACATCGGCTCCCGGCGCGTTACCTGCTCATGCCGTTATTTCTTCCCTAACATTATCCCTAATCTTTCTTATACCGTCTTCCTAATATTATCATACCTAATCTTGCTTCGTCGCCACGTGCAAGCGACTCTACCTCACGTCGGGCACGGGGCAGGTGAACGGCTACCTGCTATGGCGCTGCTATTTCCTTAAATTAGACGTTCGTATATTATTGATTACTTTTTATTATTAGTTTATATTATATTACTTTTTTATTATATATATTATATTATATTTTTATTGTTATTATACTATTATTGTTATATTTTATCCTACCTTACTCCTAATCCTTACTGTGCTTACGCGTGGCAGGAATTACCCTCCAGTCGGGCACGGCCAGTGCTCTTGTGAGGGTTACCTGCTCATGCGTTGTCATCTTCTTACCTTACTCCCTAATCTTACTTTGTTACGGTGAGACTTTACGCCTCCACGTCGGGCACGGCAAGCTCGTGCCTTGTGAGGGTTTACCTGCTCATGCCGTTGTCATCTTCCTTACCTTACTCCCTAATCTTACCTTGTTACCGCGTGCAGGACTCTACCCTCCCACGTCGGGTACGGCGCAGGTGAACGGCTTTGACGTGAGGAGCGACGTACGTAGCGTGCGCAGCAGCATGGGCCTCTGTCTACAACACGACGTTCTCTTCGACACGCTCACCGTCGAAGAGCACTCATCTTTCTTCTCCGAGGTATGGCCAAAGCCTTTTTGGGCTGTTTACGATGGATGCCCCAGTTATGTTACCTGATTTGCGCGTTTTATGTTTTACACATGAGCAGTGAAAGAAGTTTGCAGTGTAAAAGGGTTGGTAGGTGAATCATGTTTACCCTCTGATTTTCTTTATATAATTTATGTAACCCGGGTTATGATATTGTAGGATATTAATGTGTACTACTATGAGATGGGTTAGTTGCCCTGGGCTTTGAAAGCTGTGGTGTGGCCTGATATGTTACTACACCAAGTCATTTTGGTCATCTGTCTCACATATGATTAATGGTAACATGACCAGTAGAGGATAGTGCTGGTGCGTCGGATCCGACATGAAACCAAGATGCGATTCGACAGAATTTTTGAATCGAAATCGAATTCGAATCGATGGTATTTCTTGTATCCATCGAATCCGAAGGGCCGGGAGTGGCAATTTTTGAATGCCGTAGTCGAATCGAGGTACGGGCGATGTGTAGGCTAGATCCGATCGAATCCTCGTATGCTCGAAATTCGCGACGCGTATAGTCCGGAACATAGAATGGGTGTATAATATGCTAGGGACATGAGTGTGTATATATTTGGGGTATATTTGTTCACATCATACTTATGGGGGTTGTGGAGATCAGAGGATGGGATGTTGAAGGGGATGTTAGACGTAGAAAGTTTAGGAATCGCGGATGATGGCGAAGAGTCTGGAACGGTGGTGTGTGTGTGTTGTTGCAACGGCTTTTTCGCTGAGCATGCTGATCTCTGGTTATCTCTCTCTTGTGTGTGTGTGTTGTCGCACCACCGTCTCTCTCTCTCTCTCTTCTCGTTCTGATCTCTCTCTCTTCTCGTCTTGTGTGTGTGTGTTGTGCCACACACACACACTGCAACACACGCGCCACACAACACAAACACGCACACATCTCTCTCTTCACGTGCCGACTCTATACTCACGCACACTCTCTGGTCTCGCGTCTCTCTTGCCTCCACTACGGTCTCTCGCTCTGTCTCTCTTCTCTCGTCTCTCTTCTCTCTCTCTTCTCTCTCTCTCTCTTCGTCTCTTTCTGTGTCACACCACAACACAACACAAAAGTGTGTGTTGTGTGTGTGTGTGTGGTTAGTTTGTGTGGTGTGACACACACAGCGCGCGTGTGTTGTGTTGTGCGCACCTCTCTCTCTCAGACTCAATACCACACTCCTCTCAGTTTCTCTCTCAACACACCACGTGTGTGTGCGCGCTGGCGACACTGTTCACCGTTGCTCGAGTCTGTGTTCTCTCTCTGAAGATACACACTCGCCTTTCGTTCTACTCTTCCTCCTCTCTCTGTCACACACACACACAACACGCCACACCTCTTCTCTCTCTCTCTCTCTCTCTGGTCACGACACACACCAAAAAACGCACACCTCTCTCTCTTCACACACGCCACCTCTCTCTCTCTCTGACACAGTACCAGCTCCTCTCTGGTTTCTCTCTCTCTCTCTCTGTCACACACACAACACAACAGACGCACACTTCTCTCCCTGATTCCCGGGCGATCCGCATCGAATGCATACATTCATTTCTGAAAATCCAACTCCGATATCCGATCGAGCGCAATTTTTGAGATCGAATCCGATTCGATCCGATTCTTTAAAATTGTAAATCGATCGATGCGATCGATCGGTCTCGATTCGGATCGGATTTGCGATTATCGGTATCGCGCACAGACTGTGGTCGAGGATAAGGGTGGTCACATTGTGTTGTGACACTTGGAAAGCAAATAATGTTCCATAACTGAGATCGTGGACATCACATAGATGGCCCTACAAACTTGACTAGACCGCCTATATTAGGTATGCAGTTTCGGTGCTCTCTGTTTTCTCATTCAGTGCAATTACGTCATGTATTATTCATTATGACATCATCATTTCTTTGATGAGTCTCGTTGCATGTTCACTTCAAGTTTTATACGTGCCTCACGTGTTCACGTTTCGATATTTGTCTATCGCAGCTCAAGGATGCCCGCGTCTGACGTTCCGGCCGAGTTCGCACATGGTTGAATCGATGGGCCTGGAAGACAAGCGAACAGCGCTGTCTCGCACGCTCTCTGGAGGGCATGAAGAGGAACTCTCAGTTGGCAATGCACTCGTAGGAAGTCGAGGTAAGGTCTTTGCGGGTGACAGCGCCGAATGATGCAGACACGCAGCTGGTAAATGATGCGGTTATTACAGACAGGTGCGGGCTCGAACAATGACAGACGAAGATAAAGTCACGACGTAGGTGCAGTTGTAGACGTAGAAACACATAGAGATAGTTTAGACAGAGAGACGTGGAGACAACGGAGGGCTAAAGCGCAGAGGTAAATACACGTAGAGGCAAGTACAGGACACGGACACAAACACAAACAGATATATATCTGTGCATCGATAGGTATGTGACGGCATGTTTCCCACCTCTCACAACACAAACAAATACAACAAACCAGAATGCAACGACGCGCACGACCGCACGCCGCACTAACCTCACACCTGGCGATCTGCCGACGTCAGGCAGTGGACCTGCGCCCGCGGCAGTCCCTGCATCCCGGACACCCTGTCGGGTCTTTTCCTTCAGGATCGTCATCCTGGACGAGCCGACGTCGGGCATGGACTCGTGTGGCGCCCGCTCATCCCTGCCATCCCTCACCCCATCGCTCTCCCCCTACAGATCGTCATCCTGGACGAGCGACGTCGGCATGGACCCGGTGGCGCGGCGCGCGACGTGGGACCTGCTGCTGGCGGAACGGCGCGGACGCACGATGCTACTCACCACGCACCACATGGACGAGGCGGACCTCCTCGGCGACCGCATAGCCATCATGGCCGCCGGCGAGCTGCGCTGCTGCGGTGGCTCCCTCTTCCTCAAGAAGCGATACGGTGAGCCTTCGACGGCGGTGGCGGCGGTGGCGGCGGTGGCGACGGTAGCGGCGTGCGTCGCATTATGGAAATCCAAATGTGTGATTGATCGTTTTGCAGCGCGCATCATACTATGAACATCCGAATGTCCCAGTAATTGTTATAATGAAGAAAGAATTCATGGTCACAGTGTAGGTGAACTATTTCTGTTATTGGACTTCACTAAACTCACATTGATCGTAACATATAATTGCCGAATCACGTCAGTTCTTTATAATATCCCCATGTATATATTTAAAGTTGATACTATATTTAATTTGTAATTCAAATAATAATGAATTAAATATATATATATATATAGGGAGTGTTTATTTTGAATATTGTGATTATTTACTCCTGATATATAATATTATAAAGAACTGACGTGTACATATATATATAATATTATATTTAATTAATAATTAATAATTGTGCTGACCTGGCGTCCGCTTCCTCCCCGCGTCTCCCCACACTACAGGTGCCGGCTATCACATGACGATCGTCAAGGACGCTCACTGCGACGCCCACCAGGTGGCGTCGCTCGTGCGCTCCTACGTGCCGAGCGCCGAGATGGAGAGTAACTCTGGCGCGGAGCTGTCGTTTGTTCTGCCGAGCGAGTCGGTGGGAAGCTTCTCGGAGCTGTTTGATCGTCTCGACGCGGGCCGCGAGAAGCTGGGAGTGTGCAGCTACGGCGCCTCCGTCACCACCATGGAGGAGGTGTTTCTCAAGTATGGCTTCTCCCCTTCCTCTCTCCTTCTCCTCTCTCTCTCTCTTCTTCTCCTCAGCTACGGCGCCTCCGTCACCACCATGGAGGAGGTGTTTCTCAAGTACAGCTCTTCTTTTCTCTTTTCCTTCTTTCCTTCTCTTCTCCTCCTCTTTTCCTATGATTGGTGTTTCTCAAGTATGGTTTCTCTCTACTTTTTATCCTTCTCTTCTCCTCAGCTATGATGCCTCCGTCACCACCATAGAGGAGGTGTTTCTCAAGTATGGCTTCTCTCTACTCTCCTCTCTCCTTCTCTTCTCGTCCTCAGCTACGGTGCCTCCATCACCACCATGGAGGAGGTGTTTCTCAAGTATGCTTCCTCTCCCCTCCTCTCCCACTCTTTCTTCTCCTTCTCTCTGTCTACCGTTGGAGTGATGGGTGGGGAATGCAATGGCGTGGAGCAAAGATTTTTGTTGAGTTAGTGAGAGAGCGATGCATGCGCGAGGCATTGGTGGGAGAGGGAAGGAGAGAAGGAGAGAGAGAGGGAGAGAGAGAGAGAGAGAGAGAGAGAGAGAGAGATGATTATGATGATGGTGATGATGAAAGGAGGAGGAGGAGGAGGAGGAGCAGGAGGAGGAGGAGGAGGAGGAGAAGAGAGACAGAGACAGACTGAGAGAGAAAGAGAGAAATGACGTGTGTTAGCTGGAACACTGGAACGTCATGTTCATTGACACACGTTTGCAGGGTGGGAGAAGGAATGGACATGAATCTCAAGTCGGTGATGAGAACTGAATACAACACCATGACCAGATGCTCCATAGACTTGGATGTAGTGCCAAGCAGTAGCGAAGGTAAGGCTGCAGGGAAAGTCTCTATAAAGCTGAGGTCATGTCACACAGCTGGTTAAAGATAATATCACAATTACATCCTTACTTGTTGTAACTTTAATCGATTGTATAGTTAAACCTGTGTTAGCAATGACCTCTATGTATCGGGTACATGTACATACGTGTATGATTACAAACACTTTCGGTGTTACCCTTGATATACACTTGAAAGCACACTTTTTACATTACCCTTGAGTGGCAGCTATACAGTGAAACTGCTTCTATATAATGGATACCTGTCTATAAAGGACACCCTTGATATTTCACTAGAGTGACCGTTATATGCAGGTTTCAACTGCATTTATGCCTAAAGTATTGAAGTATTGGTTCAGTATTGTATGCTGGGTGTGCTCATATGTTTTTTTTTCTCTCTCTCACCCTGTCTCCTGCTCTTTCTCTCACTATCTTTCTATGTCTCTCTCTCACTCTTCTCTCTCTCTCTCTCCCCCCTCCCCCCGCACTCGCTCTCTCTCACTCTCTCTCTTTCCTACTCCCTCTCTCTCTCTTTTTCTCCTACTCTCTCCCCCCCTCTCTCTCTCTCTTTCTCTCCTCTCTCTCTCTCTCCTTCTCTCCCCCCTATCTCGCTCCCTCTCTCTCATCCTCTCTCTCCCTCCTCTCCCCCTCTCACTCTTTCCCCTCTCTCTCTCTCTCTGGCTTTCTCCCTCTCCCTCTCGCTCACCCTCTCTCTCTCTGTCTCTCTCCCTCTCCCTCTCCCTCTCGCTCTCCCTCTCTCTCTCTCTCTCTCTCCCTCTCCCTCTCCCTCTCGCTCACCCTCTCTCTCTCTCTCTCTCTCGCTCTCTCTCTCCCTCTCTCT